GAATTCTCGTTAGCACCTACCGTAGCTTAACTTGCTAGGTAAACGCTGTAAGTCGGGAACTACCGCAGAGCGATACTGCATCCAGATTGCGTACGCTGTTGAAACCCTTTCAATCACGGAGCGAGATGCCCGTTGGTTGATCGAGGCAATTTTGAGACCTTGGTCGCTCCAGGGCGTTCGCTAGCATTAGCCGACGAGCTAACTAGCCACTCTCGGTGTGAAGCTCGGGAACGCGTCCCGCAAAGCTTTCTACCCGTTCCGACGCAGCGAAACTGCGTCCTTTAATCCGCTAAACCTTCCGGTACGGAGTACTTTAAGGTACTTTTAGCGGCGGTTCTGTAACACGCTGCGGTGTTTAGAATCGTGTGATTGCTACGGGGATCAAAGCCGGGTGTCGGATGACGCATGCGCGGCGGTCCGCCATCTTAGGTGCCCGACACGTAGCTCGACCCGCCATCTTGGGCAGGTAAAATGACAATGATATTTTTGGCATTATTGAACAATTTTGCCCGAAATATTCATTCACCAGCCAAGCTTCCCTGTAACTAATTCTTTAAAAATCTACAGGTAAGGTTGTTTCTAAATAAACATCTAAATAGAAGCTAAATAAAAGAGCAAATTAGTGAATTGGAAGACTATTTACTATTTTGGAAAATGGACTCAGAGGTAACAATGCAATTATCATCTCAACTTCAGGCGATGCAAAACACTTTCCTTCCAATGATGACTAACATGATGAACATGATCTGCAATCTTCAAAAAGACGTCAAGGGCGTCAAACAATTTGTGCGTGATTCTCAGGCGACCCGGTCAGAGACTCCGTGTTTGCCTGAGAAGCCGCAAACTGAGACTGAAATGCTGTAGGTTGATGTTTTCACAGGTTCTGATTCACAGGAGAACAACAACACCTCAAAGGAAAGCGACAACACCTTTCCGGTCGTTCCATCCGTGGCGATGTTAGGCGATGAACCCGCGGATGACGACCGCAGTACCACTACTGCTACCGCCGTGACTGAGAAAATTTTGCTTGCACCTCTGGTCGTGAGAAAGGGATCTAATAGGCCCGCAGTGGAGGTCACTGTAAATCAGAGACATCGCTGTGTCGCATTATTAGACACAGGAGCGGACATCTCGCTCATCAGCGGAGCTCTTTACAGCAGCATGTGCGAACAAAGGGGGGAGGACAGCTCACCCCCCAAACTCATTTCGGGCCCAAAGGATTTTGGCGAGTTCTATGGCGCTCCCTCGTCCGCGGCTGCAACGACTGATGTCAACATCTCGATAGGAGGCATGTCCTTTAAACACCTCGTGTACATCAGCGAGGAGATGAGGATGCCCATGCTCATAGGGTTGGACTGTCTCCAACGCCTTGACGCTAGAATCAGCTGTGCGTCCGGACAACTGTTTGCACGTGTGAGGAAGCCAAAGCCGTACAAATCGTGGCCTGACACAGGCGGACGCCCTTCTGTGGCAAGTGTTTCACGGGGGGGCGCGATTTTGACCTCACCGCCACTCTCGAAGCCACCGGGTAGACCCCCGGAACTTCTGTTACAGATTGAGAAGGTCATAGACCAAGCGGATGCTCTCACCAACGATGTCGAGCGAGACCAGCTAAGACAACTTTTGCTAAAGTACCAGGATTTTCTTTCACTTGACTCCTTGGACTGTGGTCTGACCACTATCCATGAAGTCCGGATTCCTACCAGGCCAGATGCACCGCCGTCCTTTGTGCGGCAATACAAGATTCCCCTGGCGTCCATAGAACCGGTCCAGGAAATCATTGACAGCCTCTTGGCTAACGGGGTCATTCGACCCTGCAACAGCACCTACTCGGCTCCGTTGTGGCCGGTACTGAAGCCTAATGGTAAGTGGCGACTTACCATTGACTACCGGCAACTCAACAAACAGGTCCCCTTGTCTAGGTGGCCTATGGCACGCCTGGAGCAGGAGCTTCCAAAAGTGAAAGATGCTAAGTACTTTTCCACCCTTGACATTGCGTCCAGATTTTGGACGATTCCCGTCCATGAATTGGACCAACACAAACTTGCTTTCTCCTTTGCCAACCGGCAGTACACCTTCACCCGGTGTCCTTTTGGTTATTCCAACTCGCCAGCTGAGTTCAACATCTTCTTGAACAAGGCCTGCCCCGATGCTCGAGAGCGTGGGACACTCATCTATGTCGACGACATTCTTATTCGTCGGCGTACGTTGGATGACCACCTGGCCGAGCTGGACCATGTCATGGGTCAACTCGCGGCGGCGGGTGCTAAGATCTCTCTCGCCAAGGGACAGTGGTGCAGGTCGCAAGTTCAGTACGTTGGCCTCCTTGTGGGACCACAGGGAGTGCAGCCTCAGCTTGGCAGGATTCAGGGTGTTGCCACCATCACACCTCCGACGAACGTCTCTGAACTTCGCAGCTTCTTGGGGGTCTGCAACTACTCGCGTCAGTTTGTGGAACATTACACTGAGTTGGCACGACCTCTGACTAATCTGTTGAAGAAGGATGTGGCGTTCGAGTGGGCGGAGCAGCACCAGCAGGCCATGGATGACCTGAAGGCCGCAATGTGCTCGGCTCCGTGCTTGGCGCTCCCCGACTGTGACAAGGAGTTCAGAAGAGCCTGAGGGGCGATGGTGGCACAGGAGTTAAGTGCTCGCCTCGCAATCGGAAGGTCGCAGGTTCGAGACCCGCTCAGTCTGTCGCCGTCGTTGTGTCCTTGGGCAAGACACTTAACCCACATTGCCTGCTGGTGGTGGTCGGAGGGACCGGTGGCGCCAGTGCTCGGCAGCCTCGCCTCTGTCAGTGCGCCCCAGGGCAGCTGTGGCTACATTGTGGCTCATCCCCACCAGTGTGTGAATGTGTGTGTGAATGGGTGAATGACTGATTGTGTTGTAAAGCGCCTTGGGGGGTTCCAGGACTCTAGAAGGCGCTATATCAAATACAGGCCATTTACCATTTACCATTTTCCACCTCGAGGTTGGTTTCTCAGCTCACTGACTCTACCAGATTCATGACTGCGACAGGCGTGTCGTTGCCTATGCTAGTAAGCTCTTGACTGGACCTGAGTTCAAATACTCGGACTGTGAAAAGGCTTTGCTTTCCACCATGTGGGCAGTTAAGTACTTTGCGAACTACATTGGCGGACAGAAAATCATCATTGAGACACAGCACCAGCCGGTGACCTTCCTTAACAGTCAGCGCATCAGAGATGGTGTGGTGACCAATTCACGAATCGCTTCGTGGCTGCTGGCTCTTCAAAGCTTTGACATCGAGGTGCGCTACGCCCAGAACCGACGTAGCCCTCTTGGCATGGGTTTGGCTGCGTGCCAACATTGCTCGGACGACGCCATTGCATCAGTCCCGCCAGCCAGGCCCCCTCAGGCTCTTCTGAACCACAACCACCACTACTACGACCAGTCATGCTGTGCGGGTTTACAGACCGTATACGTGGAAGGCAGTGCTTTTCGGCACGGTTCTGCGCCTAGGGCGGGTGTGGGTGTCGTCTGGGTAGACGGTGACCGCAGGGAGTCCCGAAGTTACTCTCTGGGTGAGAAGACCTCACAGTATGCTGAAGTAGCGGGGATCGTGATAGCGCTACGTAGCGCTAGGGACCGTGGCTTCCGTGAACTGGTGATTTGCACTGACTCGGACTATGCGCGTCTCAGTTTCTTATGTCATCTACCGACGTGGAAGAGTAACGGGTTCCAGACCGCTAGCCGGAAGCCCGTCAAAAATCAGGCCCTCTTCAGGGCGTGTGACATTCTGGTGACTGCACTTGACATGCACATTTACTGGCGTAAAGTCAAAGGTCACTAGGACCCCACCTCCGCGTTAGCTTTGGGTTAGCTTCAGGTTAGCTTGTAGCTTGTTCGACCGGGTGTCGTCAGTTGATCCCAGCCTTACAGCCCCACCCTCAGCTCCACCTCTCTTCCCTTTTTTGGAATTGTCTGGGCTTGAAGGAACCTGTGACACGGTCAAAATGGCGGTGGTGGCCACCTCCCATTTTGGCTTAAAAACGTATTATTGGAGCCTATGGACACGCATTGTCCAGTATATGTCGATGGTAGCAGCAAGTATGTGAACAAAGATGCAGCCTACTGCCTGCGCCAACGTGAGGTGAAACAGCAGGTATATCAAGGTCCTTACAGGTGCACTGTTGTTGAAAAGACCACACTATCTGTTAATGGGACAAAAAATTGGAACAGTCTACCACTCATCATAAGAGACTACATACAGTTCCTTCAAATTCCAACTTAAACACTGGTTGATGACAAACCAAACCTGATTCCCTTAGTTGTTTATCCTCACACTGACGTACTGTATTGTGTGTTTTGCTGTCTTCTATTGCTCTTATCACCTGCTTATTGACTGCAAGTGTAAATTAACACTTGTGCTACAATCTGGCATATTTACTGTTACAATTTGTTGCTGAAGTTCATTAATATGCACTGTCCCTATTAAATAAACATATCAATCAATACATTTTATTGGCTTAGGATCTTTACAAAACCTTGCAGCAGTTTGCTGGTTAGTGTCAAATTATAAATGTAGCGTTGGCTTGCACAGACTTGATAACAATAAGCTCACATATAGTAAACAAAGAATATGTCCCTCTTTGGCTATTTTGAAAGGAGGACAAACCGACAAATCCCAAGCCAGCTGAGAATGGAACCTGTTTCAATGTAACCTACCTTCCAACGTGATTAAGATGATATAGGCTGCTTTGTTATAATTTTATAGCAAAATTCTTCCATGTTGTAGCTTTAAGTTACTGTAAAAACCAGATCAAGACCACAGAATGGCCAAAGATAATATTTTGATCATTATCTGGGCTTAAAATGGTCCAGTTCCAATCAAATAAATAAAGATAAATAAATGCTGACTATATATGCCATACAAAAGAAAACAATTCTACAACAAAGAGCATGATGGTTTAGAGTCTGTTGAAAAATAACCAAAATTGTTTTAACATCATAAAAATTATTGTATTTTACATAATGATAGCTGCTTTATGGAGTAAGGAAGTAATATAAATGTTTATGGTGACCAGTGTTTATTGGTAAACACTGAAAGCTCACCATGAAAGTAACTGAATGTGATTTTCAAAAAGGTGTGAAATGGTAAATTTGATATAGCACCTTCTAGAGTCCTGGACAAACTGAGTGGGGCTTGAACCTGCAACCTTCCGATCTCGAGGCAAGTACTTAACTCCTGTGCCACCATCACCCCAAGGTCTACAACTGGTCAGTTGTGTAAAATAGGTAAAGATGAAACATGGTATTTTATCTCCTATAACAAGAATTATATTCATAAAAAAGACATCACAATGAAGCCTAATGGACTTGGAGGTAAAAACAGTCGTGCAACATTAGCTTCAGATAAACAAAGGTCTTGGGAATCCTTCAAAACTAATGAACCATGAGGAGTCATTTAACACTCTATTCACAGACCCATAACAGTTTCACACTATGTAAATATATCCATGTGACAAAAGTCCAAATGGTAAAGTGCAAAAATTTTAACGGCAAAGTATAATTCAGTAGTTATCTGTTTATTTTTGTTACAAACAGTTTCAAACACACACAAAAACAAAACTGCATTATCTCACGTTACAAACCACACAGAAGGGTCAAATATAATATTTATACAAGATGTTCAGGATGGTTTTTCCTCTGAAGTTAGAGAATAAAAGAAAAACACACATTTAGAAACAATCACTTCTTTTGTCTGCACTTTGTTGTTGAACATCCAGAGAAAGTCACAGAAGAGTAATAATTTGATCCTGTGAAATCAAATCCATTTACCCCGACAGCTGCAGTGTTCGTGAGCTTGGTGTCAGCTTGGTGAGTTTGAGCCAACTGACCCACGGTGAACAGCAGCGGCACCGCTTGGCTTGGAACCAGATCCTCATCGCAGCCTCCTCAGCACCGAGGCTGACTTACAGGGCGATGATGATCGCTCTCTTATTTCTGTCCTTCAGTTGTCGGCTCAGCAGAAACGCAGCAGCAGGAGGAAAGCAGCAAGAGGTGTAAGAAGATAAACACACAGAAAGAAAAGGGACACACAACTATAGCATCAGCATTTGCTGATGTGTGGACCAGTCAGAGAGCTCCTTGAGGTAGTTTGGACCAAACAGCTCACTGTAGCCCTCAGCGTGAGGAGGGTACAGGTTTTCATCAACTGCACCTGAAGAGCAGAAAACATCAAAAATATCAATTAACGAGATTTTTAATTAATTAATGAGATTTTCCTCCTGAAAGGTGCCACAAAAATAACTTTATACACTTTCAAATATTTAGTAAAAATTTACATCAATTTATTGGAAGATGTAAATTTTTAAAGTATAAACATTTGAGGGCAATATTTGAATTTAATTACAAAGTTCCTTCTTTTTTTTCTTTCATTAGCTGGAATATGGTCCTTTTGTATAAAAATAACATCTGAGACAAACACATAAATGTTTGTTTTTGAAATGATCTAGTTATAATTAAAACATTTTATTTTGTTTCTAAAGTATGTTTGATGGTGCAGAATTTGTGGCCCAAAAAGATCTTTGGTCACATCTAATTTCTAAAAAGTACGCAACAAATATGTGGAAATCGTACAGTGTGACTGGTCCCAAAGACTGTGCATCCTCCATTCTCTCTGCTCCAATGTCTGGCTCCAGAGGTCGGTGCTACTGAAGTGGTCTATCAGCTGTGGGGTAAAACCATGAGGTCAGTAACTGAGATCCAAAACCCAGCAGTATGTCTGTGATGTCTAAGAATGTTAAAAGTGCATTCTGTAAGAAAGAGGTAAGTATGGCATCATCTGGTCAAATTTGGTTACTGCAGCCCATTTTTAAACACACCCGTGACTGTCTCACTACCGTTGAGTTTCATGGCTGTTGCCAGTTACCGATCAGCAATAGAAGACTTCAGAGGATGAGCGAGGACAAGTCATTCACAGTAGATACATACATTTCCCTGTAATATCAAGTTCTTTGTAATTGAAAAAAAAAACTGCTTGAGATATTTTTAGACCTGACTGTTTGTAATTCACCATTAGCCTTGTTAGGTAAACATTAGACTTTAGCCATCTTTACCCAATATTATAGTAAAACTATGATGTCAATGGCTTCTTAGGGGTACCTACAAGAAATAACTTATGGGTCGCTTCTGTTTCTGGCTTATGGTCTTTACAAAACACTGCTGTGATTTACTGGCTGGTGTTGAATTACAAAAACCAGCGCTGCAGCATTAGCATGCACAGACTCGACAACCCGACGGGCTCACAAAGAGTAAGCAAAGACTAAATTTCTCTTTGCCTTTTTGAAAGGAGAAAAAACATTGGTTATGTATTGTGCCACCCTTTAAGACTGCAGGTCTCATTGGTTCTGAGGGATCTTTGAGCGCTGGTTACCGCTGCCTCCACTATCATTCATGGACAGCCAGTGGAGCTGGCTGAAGAGTATAAATATCTAGGGACCACCATTGATCACCTCCTGAAATTCGCTTCCAACACCGAGGACATCCTCAGAAAGTGCCAGCAATGACTCTACCTCCTGAGGAAGTTGAATTCATTTGGAGTCAGGAAGGACATTTTACTGACTTTCTATTATTCTTTTATAGAGAGTATTATCACATTTTCCATCCCCTGTTGGTTTTATTCTGTCAGCCTGCAGTATAGAAACCGTCTACAGAGCACCGTCAAGGTGTGCTCTCAGATCATTGGACTACCACTGCGAAGCTTAACTTCTCAATGTGACCAGCATACAGGAAGTTTAGCACAGAAAATCATTAAAGACCCATCACACCCTCTTCATATTGTTTTCGAGTGGCTGCCCTCCAAACGCCGACTTCAATGCCCATGCTGTAAAACACAGAGAAGTTCCTTTATTCCCAGAGCTGTGCTTCTTCTTAATTCTCAGTGCAGATAGGGGGAGTGTGCATTACTTGTATGTGTGTGTGCATGTAGATACATGTGTGTGTGTGTGTGTGTGTGTGTGTGTGTGTGTGTGTGTGTGTGTGAGTGAGTGAGTGAGTGAGTGAGTGTGTGTGTGTGTGTGTGTGTGTGTGTGTGTGTGAGCCAAAGTTTTAATCATTGTTGGTCATTCACATGTGAGGTTATGACATGAATGTGTATATAGGTTTTATGGGTTTTACAAATGTGTAATTTGGATGTGTTTTTAGAATTTAGAGATTTTAGTGCCGGCTGCTTCACAATGCTGTCTCGAATTGCCCCTCGGGGACTAATAAAGTTGTCTTGAGTCTTGAGTCTTTGGAGACTAGCTATGGTCCTCTGTCTCTCTTACAGGGAGCCTAAGTCAGGCCCATCTGCTTCTGGACCATAGGTCTCCGGAAGAACGAAAAAATGAATGCAAGTCAACGGGGCTAAAAACGTTATTTTCTAATTCCGCTTGTTATGTGCCATGGATTTCACATATGATGTCTGTGAATTTTAAAGACACATTTGATACCAAGAAAGCACTTATTTTTGAACGGGGGGAAACATTATTTTAGGTTTTGTATGAAAATAAGTGCAGGACTACAAATGTGCTTCATCATGTGACGTCACCGAACCAGACACAGAGAAAAACAGAGGGCAATGGCTGTAAGTTCAGCAAACTTCAAATTTTCCTTTAGGAGGAAACAACCACCATAAATCTGGCCATTTGGTAAGTAGCAGGCAACGGGAGAAGAGATTCTGTGCCGATGTCCAATTTGTAGTCATGCTAATTACAAACTGTTACAAGCTGATAAATCTTAAAGTGCATGCATGATCAAAACAGCTATAAATAATTTAAATTTAAATTGAAGCACAACGTATGTGAGATCCAGGGTGTAAGGCAAAGCGGATTAGAAAATAGCTCTTTTAGCCCCGTTGACTTGCATTAATTTTTTCGTTCTTCCGGGGACCCATGAGCCGACCGGAAAGGGAGGAGACTTAGGCTCAACTAGTAGGCGGGCGTACACTGAAGGCTCTTCAAGATTTGTTGGCTTATGAGAGTTTAGCCAATCGGCGTTGGCCTTAAAGGGTAAAGCCAATGCGAAATAAAACTGACAACCCCCTAAACTGTTGAGAAGGAATTCTGTTTCAATGCAACCTTCTTTCTAACATGATTGAAACATTTGACTTTTTTTGTGATAGTTTTTCTGCAACATTCTTACATATTGTACCTTTAAGTTGATTGAAAAAAAAATCCTCAAATGTTACCTTGTGGACGGTCTCACTGTGTTCCTGTTCCTCTGGTTTGGGCTCCCACATTCCTGCACGACAGTAACTGTCATCTCCCTGTGGCTAACACAATACTCCAATGATAAAATTATTTGAGAAACATCTGCCTCACCATGTGGCTCAGTGCCGGTAAAGATGAGTTGTGTGCACGTCTCCACCTTCTGCGGTGTCTCTGATATTTGCCGTGTCGTTCCAGGCTGCCAAGTGTGTGAGATGTGTGTGTCATCAAGTTTATAATCTTGTAAACTCATCTGTCTTTCCTGAGGACAGTTGAACAATCGGAGACCTGTCATGGAGAAGATTAAGCAGAATTTATACATTTAGTGTTTAAATGTGTTTCTTTTTTACCTGTGTGTTCAGAAAAGTTTCCTACCTTTTCTCCTTCTGTGAATCTGAGAGTTGGGCAGGATCCTGTACACCCTGTATGCATTGGTGCCTCTCTTCCTGCTGTGCTCCCGCAGCTCACAAATGTCTGGTAAGGAATTCAGGGCACATCGGAAATTTGCTTTCCACGTCTTGGGGTCTGGTTTGTCTCTGCCTGGACGGTACCGCCCTGAAATGGACCAGCATAGAGACAGGGTGTTTGCTTGGGACATAATGAATGTGTCTTTAAACTTGTGGAACAGAAAAGTTTGTCTCTGAAGAAATCGGGGATTTTTGGGATGTCATTTATCTTTTTGTGGTGAGGTCCAATAAAGTCCAATGGAGACCTAAGAATTCAGGCATCAGCAGTGACCTTTAACCTTTTCATCTGAACTGCTGTGTTAACATTTTCTTTAAACTTTAGTTATTTTCTTTTTCTTCCCTTTTCCATTAATACATCAATTCTCACTTTAAGTAGGATTTCAGGTTTAGTCCTCAAGTGAGCTGCAAGTAATCAAAAATGTTCACCTGAACAAGAAAATCCATGTGATCAATCAGACACTAGACATCATTCGCTCTGTAAACTGACATTTGAACTTATTTCACCTTAATTTTTTTACAAATGTTCGCCCTTTTTAAAACTAGACCAAAGAAAGGGTAAAAACAAAATCTCAATAAAGTGTCTACTCTTTCTCAAATTTGATTGATACAAAACATGTCGGCAATGTCCGACTGTCTGACGGGTTTTCTAAAACAGCGCATCCGCCCAAGCTAATTTTAATGTGCTTTCTTCTAATTTCTTCATTTCAGTAGTCATTAGTCGAGCGGGGTTTTGTCGTGTGCATCAGTGTAATCGGTCAAGCAGGAAATAACGCACTGACAAAAGTTCCGCTTTGCTTGAAGTATGAGCTGTGATTTAATTTTTCAAAAATGTTGTGTAGTTAATTAATCATAATTAACATGTTAAATTCCCACCCCTAATAAAAATTTAAAAGATGCCTGAGAATTGATATCTGCAGTTTAATTCAGCTGCAAAGTCTCTCATTTCCGGTAAACACTAGAGAATAAAACATTTCTATAGGGAGCTAGTTTCCTGCAGAAACAATTTTAAAATTTCATATACATTTAAGTGCCACTAAATATGAGGAAACATAAATATTTAAGGGATGTGTCATGTCCACTTCCTGATACTTTTGTCCCTGACTAAACAGGGATTGTGCACTTTTTATTTTACCGTGTCCTGTCCGGCTGTGAAGCAATCAGAAATGATGTCTGAATGTCGAAGACAAGCCTTGCAGCTTTATTCTCACAGGTGGAGCGTAATAGCTTCTGCTATAATGCCATTCCTTATACCAAAACTTTATTAGTAATATTTTCGGTTGTTTAAAATATGACGGAGACATAAGTGTAACAGAAAGGGGGAGAGAGAAGGAAGAGATGGGGAATAGGGGGTTCACAAGAATGAATGAACAAGAATCTGCTTCTACACCTGCGTAGAGAGAGAGAGAAAAAAAGGGACACAAAAATACATCAAGACCAAAAGATATAGGGGTTTAATCTACATTAGCACGTGCCTGGATTTAAAAGTTCTAATCAGGACAAAACATTGTCTTTTGTCTCAAGCAACAAAAGCCTCCACACACACACGCGCGCACGCACGCACGCACACACACACACACACACACACACACACACAAACACACACACAGACACACACACACACACACACACACACACACACACACACACACACACACACACACACACACACACACACACACACACAACTTCTATGATTATAACAAATAGCTCATTTGTGAAGTGATAGACCTGAATCATTCACTTATCTGTTGGGGAAAATAAGTCCCTTTTCATTCAAATGCTGATGAAACACTTTCAGTGTGCTGCAGCTTATCAAAATCAGATATAATGAGCTGGCGGTGCACTTACCTTGTTGAGTGTGTGCATTGGATGTGATTGATTATCACATTGGAATGATTTGGTTTTCAACAAAGTTAAAGCAATAAAATTAACGGGGCGTTTAGAGACAGAGTAACGATCAACAGTGCACAGGAAGCAGCAGATTTACACACATGCACCTGATGCTCATTTCAGTAGATTTGATACCAATCACTCAATCTTTATTTATATAGTACCTTCCACCGCCTTTGCAGGAGTACAAGGCGCTGAACATGCTATACACTAAAAACATAGACAACTATAAAAAGGACATAAAAACAACAAAAAACTAAAAGCAGCATATAAGATGATCAAATATAAGATATGATATATGCAGCACTTACTTTTATTATTATTAAAATAATTTAGAAAAGCCAGCTGCAGTGACAATGCAGAAGGTGCGGCATAAGACTCAAAGGCAGATGAAAACCTCAAAGTTTTCAATTTTGATTTAAAAGTTATCAGAATTGTAGAATATTTTAGAATAGAATAGAGTCAAGTCAACCGAGTCAAGAACAACAGGTCATCCTTACTCATTCTGCAAAGCAAACCTTGGTCAAAATGACAATCCTTCCATCTTAGATTACAGTGACATCGTTTATAGGACTGCTTCCAAAAAGCTTCTTCATAAACTCCATGTCATTTATCACTCGGCAGTCCGTTTCGTCACTGGTGCCCCTTTCACTACTCATCATTGTGATCTGTACTCACTCGTTAGCTGGCCATCACTCCATTCCTGCAGGATGTTACACTGGTATCAGTTTATGTACAAAACAATCATCGATAGAACCACATCATATCTTCGCTCATTACTCATCACTTCCAACAACCAGCGCGATTTACCTTCCAGTAACTTCATCTCTATAGTTATTCCCAAAGCTCACACCTCCTTTGGCCACTCCTTATTCCAGTTCGGTGCTTCCAACGACTGGAATGAGCTGCAAAAATCATTAAAACTCACTATGTACGTTCCATTATCTACCTTCAATACTTCATAAAAATCAATAGTTTCTGATCAATGTGCCTGCTTCTAGATTGTTTTAAGTCTGTTAGGATTGTTTGAGAATGAGTTTTCAATCGACTCAACAGGTTAAATAAAGGTTAAATAGAATAGAATAGAATAGAATAGAATAGAATAGAATAGAATAGAATAGAATAGAATCCATCAATGGGGAATTGTTGGTGTAAAAGCAGCAAAGTAGAATTTGGAATAAAAGGCTGTATGGTGAATAAAATATATATGCTACGTAAAAATAATTAAAATATTTAACTGAAAGTACCACATTTACAATAAAACGGTGTGAAAGACTATAGCAGAACTGTTACAGGGGTTAAACCATGAGTGGAAAACCGAGCAAATGAGACATGAATGAGTGCAAATAGAAGAACGACAGAAACTACTGTATGAAAATCTCACAAAGCTGCAGGAATGCTGAAAGGAATTTGATTCCTTCTGTGTGCAGCATAGTGGCTAAAAGCATCTTCACCCTGTTTGGTTCTGACCCGGGGTTCCACCGGCTGACTGCTTCGTAAGGATCTCAGAAACCTGCTGGGTGCATACGCTGCAGAGATCTATGTGTACAGGTGAAACTGCTAAATTTAGGATATAGTACAAAAGTCCATTTATGTCAGTAATTAAACATAAACTAAGAGACCATCTAACCCTCCAAACAGTCAACGCCGCACGGACGTGCAGATCATATATTGAGTCTGTCCGTCCAGACCACTTCTGTAGGACGTCCAAACTAAGTTTTTGCAGTGAGAAAGGCCCAGGAACCCTTTGCAGGTGTTTTTGATGCATTAGCTGATTAGAGTGTGACACTTTGTGTCTACAAGTTTGAATCTTTCCACAATTATCTAACTGTCTGAGATTCTGACTTAGGGGTTTTCATAAACTGTAATCCATAATCATCAATCAGTTATGACAAATAAAGGCTTGAAATATTTCACTTTGCACGTAATGAGTCTATCTCATATATTAGGTTGACTTTTAAGTTGAATTACTGTCATAAATGAACTTTTGCACAATATTCTAATCTTTTGAGTTTCACTTGTATTTTAGGGAGATCTGACATGTGCTACTGAGTGATTTATAAACTAGATGTAGCACTTTGAAATCAAGTATTTAGTTTACTGGTAACAGAGTGGAAATTTAAGAACAGGAGAGATCTTCTTGGTCTTCTTGGTTGTTGTTAAGACTCCAGCAGCAGCAATAAGCTGCAGTTGCAAAAGTCAAAACAAAAGTCACTTCAAAGCAATGCAAGTCCTCTAAGTATGGTCATATATTCTGTGCTGTATAGTCCTGTTTATGTCTGGGAATATGCCATCTAAAATTCTTTCAATGTGCTCAGCTGCATAACAAGTCCTCTTTGGAGTGCATGACAAGTCCTGTGGAAATCATTAGGGATGCACTTTGACAGCAACACGATCTTCCTGCACCCCCCACCCCTACTGCAAGTAGACTGGAGCTTTCCCATGGAGTGATGCCACAGCTCAATATGAAACACAATTTTCCCATGACAAGAGGACAGAAAACGTACTTTGTTCTGTACGTGCACGTGCGACTTTAACAAGCTGTGTAGGAACAGAACTGGAACTCATCTCCTTGTAGGGGAAAGACATTCTGTGGATTATGGATTTTTGTCCCCCAGCTACAGTGTAATTTCATCTCTAGTTTGCAAACATTACTCAGATGTATTCCCTGATAATAATGCTCCGACTGCCACAAAGTAAATCAGTTAAATAACCTGGAAGTATTATCTTTGGCTGCACATAGTGCCAAACTCTCAGTCGGCCTGGTTTGAACCACAGAGATTCAGAGAATGTGTCTCTTGGTTTTCCTTCTACGAAATGATTACTATTGTTTATCTAGTTTAGACTTGTTCATTGGACGTTGTGATGTATTGCCTGTAGTTGGAAAGGGATTTACTCACAGGAATGTGGAAGTTCCAGAAAGACCAATCCATAAGATGGCACTTCAGTGGAAGTGGCGTCAAACGAGGGAAAAAAGTCAAGGGGTAAGGTTGATTTCTTTAAAGCGACACCATTTAATTTTTATATCATCTTCCAGAAACTTGATATTAGCTCATCTAAGAACATATTCAAGAACGTAGAAATAAAAATGAAAGTTTTACAATTTTTTGATAGTCTTACAAGCACTTTATCTCTAAATGATAGTTTGGGGATTTGAAGTAGCTCAAACCGATCCCCTACCAGTCATGCAGGAAAAACGGAAAGATCTGATCAGTCTGCCAGGGAACTTGTGTGCATGTGAGATAAATATAACTCTGTCAAAAAAATAGTCTGTGTCATTAAACACCCTTCTACATTATAGTAACCCCCCCCCCCCCCCCCCCCAAAAAAAAAAAGATTTTTGTGTGTTTGGATTTGCACACAACTCTATACATGTGTCTATTTCTTTATTTAGCAACAAATGTTTTCAAAAAGTTGATGCTTTGCTTATTTTTGCCTTAACCCTTCCACTGTCCTATCAGGGGGACCCCTCCAGGTAACCCTTGGCAAGGGTCAAGTGGTGCACTCCTAAAAAAATCTAATAAAAAGCACCTAGGGCTCACCTGACCCCTTCAATAACGCGGGAGGGTTAATAAATCTTAGTTCTGCACTACAAACAAGTATGAAGGTTTAATTGTCTCATAAGTGAATTTTAGATAAAAAGTACGAAGTTTTACCTGCTTAAAAAGAGACAATCACCCTCACTTAAAAAAAAACTTGAAACTTTTTGAACTTAAAAAAATCCTGTTGAGATAAAAAATTCTTGGGAAGGACGGAGACGGGAAGGCCGAGATGGAACCAGCAACCCTCCACAGTCCTCTCCCTAACCAAAGTCACTTAAATATATAGATTTGAGCAAATTTTACACAACAGGGTTATGTATGTGGCATATTGTATATATCTGTGAAATATTTGGTCATGCAGCTCAGACGTATTCCAGCAGTTGGATGTGTCCATGTTTTTCTCAGCATGCTCCTATTGTATTCATTACCAATAATATATCTTAATATTTGGCCAGCCGGATGGATTTTGTGCAGTGGATTGAACTGATTTGATAAGAGGCCCCACCAGGTGGGAAATAAACAGTCTGTGTTTCTTACCTGTGTGCATGGCCCAGCTCCTGAAGAGTGTAGCATCCCGGTCGATGCTCCATCCGTGACGGGCGGCGTGCTTCCACGGGATCTGGAAGATGCGTGCTGACTAGGATGTGATAAAACATTAGATTTGTCAACATTCTTAAAACTGAACAACACAAACCTAAACATGCGGGTACACAGAGGTGAGAGCTCTGATTGGAGCACAATGGAGGAATTTTACCTGGTCCAGCCAGCTGACACCTGGATACTTCCCAGACTGAATCTGCTCCTCCAGCCACGGTCTCAGCCTCTGCCGACCTGGCTGCTGCATCCTGTAGCGTTTCAGGTGTGCAAGAGAATATGCAAGCGTGACAGGCTTCACGGAGGTTTGAGCAATAAGAGAAAAACTTTGTATGAGTCTAGATTAAATCAGAAGTTACAATGAAAATGCCATCCTTCTCCAGAAGCGTCCAATCAAAGCGAAGCTCATGGTGAAGTCACTCCTGCTCCTCCTCTATTAACCTGTAAGTTACTGTTAAGTGGGCTCTTGTTGAAGGAGGTGTTGGGAATGCTTGAGTAAGGAAGGGGTTAAAGTCAAACCTGTTGGTTAAATATGTAATACCTTGTTTTGTTTAACTGCCACATGCTGACTAGTAACACAATATGCAAATTGTGTGAGGCATGAAGCCATTTTTGATATGCAGCAGGAGTCCATGCGGCAGCAGTGGTGTGCGTGTGAGAACGTCGGATGGAAGCAGAATAAATGTGATACGACACCAGCGTGACACACGAGACGGCTTCACGTGTTGCAACAACGCTGTACTAGAACTTATTAAACAGTACTTATAAACCTTCATCTCCTGTTGTATAGTTTTGTAATAATTAAATCTGGACTATAAAGATGAGTTATATTAAAAAACAAAGAGGAGGAAATAGTTTAGTAAAAGTTTAATCGGAACTTCAAACATCCGTTCATCCACTATTGATTCCCACTTATTCTTGAAAGGTCGCAGCATGGTGGCGCCGTTCTCCGGCAGTCATTGGACAAACAGATAGGGACAACACTGGACAAAAAACACACGCACACACACGGAAAAATTAGGAACTTTTTGAACAGTGGAAGCCGGGGAACCCACACAGAACCCTCGCAACCTTGCAAAAAGGGTTGGGATTTGAAGCCAGGAGCTTCTCACTGCAAGGCACCGGTGCCACCAACTGTGTCCCGGTCCAGCCCCCACCTTTTACAAAACCCGTCCAAAAACAAATGAAGAAATTATGGTTTCGTGCATGTTAAATGTTGTCAACACATCGGTTGTTTTCCGGCCCTAAGATTACAACAGCAGAATTCTGTTTTCTTCTTGTTTTTGAAGAAAACTCATTGCCCAACTTTGACGTTTTAAAAACGTTTTATTAGAAAACATTTATTAAAATTTAGATTTTTGCATCTTCATGGAGGACAAAAACAGCCTCTATTACATAAGTTAATACTTTACATACATATATATATATATATATATATATATATATATACTTAGATAGATAGATAGATAGATAGATAGATAGATAGATAGATAGATAGATAGATAGATAGATAGATAGATAGATAGATAGATAGATAGATAGATAGATAGATAGATAGATATAGTAAAATGCTTATGAGAAACTGGCAACACTTTTGCAATAGTCCTTGTCAACACCCAGAATCATGGAATGGTTTCAGAACATTTGATGCAAATCATGAATTATCATTAAGCTTATTTTAACCAAATCTAAATAAATGATTTGCATTTTTGACAGAAGTGCCACTTCAGTTACACTGCAGCACTTTTCCACATAACTCTATATCCTTTTATTCTTCTAGCTAAAATGTGTTGTTTTCCTGTAACACACTGGGCGGGAGGTGACGCGTGCAGATTTCTGTGGAAATGACTCAACAGCTCCTGGGAACAATGAGAAAGTAGTTTCACAATGACAATCAGCAAGAGCTGAAGCGTTACGGCCAGTTTCGGTTAAAGTTCAAGCATCTTCTTTTTTCACACTCACAAGGATGAAACCTGATGATCAGATGCTTTTCAGGTTTTTAGCTTTAAGATGTTCAAATGATTCTTCAGTCTTACATTGGTTTTCATACATGTTTTATTTGTTTTTACACAATGTAAAAAAACATTTTGCAGGATTGAAAATAAAATAAACAGGATTAACACTGCTTTCAAACCACAATTTCTAAACTCTCAGAGCTGAAAATGCAGCACAACTCCTTCCACGGTGCCGTAATTCTTGGCACTTTGTGGTCTCCTACACAGCCTTGTAACAAGCTGCGTTTTTTCTGATCATTGGCCGCTGCTTTTTACATCACACCACCCCTATCCTCGTCCACTGAATGGCTTAAATGATGGCGTACTTTGATAGAATACACATTTTTTTAACGGTACTGATGTCATTGGGTGCCTTATGTAGGTGCCATGTGTCTTGCCCATGTATGTCTGATCTCTGAATTGTGTGTACGGAAACTCTAATTTCCCTCTGGGATTAATAAAGTATTGATTGACTGATTTATGGCGCTACTCAGTCATGCGACTCACTGCCGAGACTGTTGTGATAAGCTGAACCAAAAAGGCTAAGATGACTGAGCCAACAAATTATCCCTGTCTCCCCCACTCCCAAAAATCTCCCAGAACTCCAGTAGAAGGAATGCAATTATTGTAAATATTCTGGTCTGTCTTTGACCTAAAGAGGCGTTTCCATCAGTACTTACTCAGCACAGTTCAACTCATGTCGACCCAGTTTCAAGCCTTTTCCATCAGTAACAGGTCTGTGGTTGCCAACCCCCTTTTCAGTACCCGTTTAGATGCGGAACCAAGTGTACCAAGCTGAGCCACAGCAATAGTGCCAGGATTTCTTAAAAGACACTTCACTGTTGCTTATAGTAAATGTAAAGAGCTGCTAATCCTAATTGGGGTTGCTAAGCTGTTGCCTTAGCAACCCCAAGCCCCAAACGCATTTTCACTGACTGTTGGTCAACGATTGGCTAGGAGTCACTAATTGGTCCAAAGCTTTCCATCTGCGTCCTTGCTGCCCACAGCCTTTTCCAGGTTCAGAGTCAAGAAACCTCAAAGCGTGAAAAGTTCAGTCGAGTTGAGCATCGCCGAGTAGTGGAAGTGCAGCATAAGTGTGGCTTGAGGAGCTACACACAGTGATATTCACTGACCACGATCATAGAGCTATTATTAGGAATTATTGGGAAGATACAGGGAAACTGACCATTCATGTCAAATGGATGGAATGCCGGATTTTCAGAAGGTTGGAAGGAGTGTGGAGGGATCGCATTAAATTCCTTTGGATTTATATTAAAATGCTGATTGTGGTCATCTTTTGGCACTTCTGCCACTTCTGACTGACACTGACATGGCTTGTAACCATCCTCCATGGGAATAAATCCATGTGACGCTGCAGGCAAAGGGCCATAGGTGGGGTTTTTAAATTTCAGCATTTCATCTACTGAGCCAGGAAAACAAGGGAGCACATTGGACAACTCATTAGACTCATCTACTGACTCAAACTCCTTTGAGGTGATTGAGCTGGTGGAACTGGATATTTTTTTCTGGCAAGATGAACTATTGTGTTGTGGAGGAAACAAACAACCCCTTTGTTCTAGATCTGTCACAATGCCGCTTGTGTTAGAAGAGCAAAGAGAGTCTGAAGCGCTCTGCCACTGACCAGAATGGTTGGGAAGGAGCAGAGAATAGGTTTGATTGAATATGGATGATGAACCAGAATTTGACTGATCTTCTTTGGCAGAAAAAATCTCTGGCTGAAGATTTAAACCAAATTTCCTGGCCAGGTCTTTCTGGTCATGTTGTATCCTTTCAAGAATGTGTTGGTCCAGCCTCAAACATCCACTCAAAAGAAGAGGATCTCTTAGGGCACCACTTCCAGCACCCATAGTATTGAACCTGAAAACAGAAATATGGTTTTGTAAAATCTCTGCATTCAATCTGTGGATAGAACATTTAGAAATGTGTCTGTGTGTACGCACTCTAGCTCCTTATCGAATGATTTGAAGTTGGATAAATCACTTGATGTGATGATCTGGAACGAGAAAAGCATCAATTCTCTGATCCTGTTTCACAGCGAAACACCTTTACGGTGACTTTGAGCCGTTCAAAAGCCTCGCTCTTTCGAACGACTCTTTGAGGTGAATGGCTCCCAAATGAATGGCTCCCTTTAAAGACCCATAAGTCCCATCACTAGTAATGATATGCTGACAAGAGCCCATTTGTAGGGAGAACCCATGGCTGAAAGGACCCCCCCCCCCCCCAACTCAAAGTTAATATTAATTTTTGCATTTGTTTTTGGATAGTTGATTAATCAAAAGCACGCAAGAACTCCAAAAACGTACCTGTGGCTTTGTTGAATGGGTCATGGTAAGTTTCGGCTTCGGAATATTGTCCCACCAATTTTCCTTCAGCCTATAACCAAATGAACACACAATCCAGTTACATTCCTGAGCTAATAACACTCGACAAACAAACAGATGCAAATGAATTTTTATCTGCAGGACTTACTTCACATAACAGAAGTATAAAGCAGTGATGATGATGACTGAGAAAACACTGAGGCCAAAGATGAGCCAGTACAGAAGAGTGTTATAAGATGCAGCTAGAAAGAGATGCAGATGTTTACAAGTGAACCTTTGTACAGAACAAACAAAGCTAACAAATATGTTTATGTTTGGGGTGATGGTGGCAGAGTTGTGCAGTTTGTGTAGTCCTGATAAAGTAACTTAACCAGTTTACTAATTAGGGATGTGTATTGGGGGAAATTATGGCGATACGATACGTATCACGATACAGGGCAGACGACACAACATATCACGATATATTGAGATACATTCGGTCAGACGATATTAGTGATTTTTTTAGACTAAATTTGATAGGAGAATTCAATAAACAGTCCAAACTGATACGTTACATGTTTAACATGAGGTATCTGAACCATAACCATAACATTTCAATGGTGGAAACAAAACCCACTGCACACTGCTGTCAACTAGCGGTCAGCGTTTGAATTGCACCAAAAGAAAAGAAAATACATAAATGTTTGCATGTAAATTCTTCCAAAAATTAGATACATGGCTTTTTAATATCAATATAATATCGCTGGAAAAATATCACGATATATTGCCATATCGATTTTTTCTAACATTCCTTTTACTAATATTGATTTTTGATATTACACATTATGGTTTGACATGTAAAAATCCTCTTACATGTATGTAAAAATAAACAACAATATGAGGACACTTACGGGTCTTAAATTCCCACTCCTGGCTGCTGTTGCTGAACCTATTACTCTGAGAAGAGAAGCTTCTCAGGCTGACCACATAAACTGCACCTGGATCCAGATCTTGACCATTTATCTCGTGGTACTGAAGCCCATCGTTTTTAGCTGGTATGATACGTTTAGAAACCTGGAAGAGAGACATAAACGTTTATTAGTGAACATGATTTCTCCAGGATCTCACTCGGGGAATTGCTCTTACCTTTTCTGTGTCTCCTTTTTTACATAAAATAATTTCTGTTTCCTCTGGGTTCCATGTCTTTCCATCCATGTTTGTGATCCACCTGACCTGAAAGTTCCCATTGGATTCTTTCACTGACTTGATTGTCGGAGCTTTGGGTTTAACTGTATTAAAAATAAGAAAATAGTTCAGTTGGTGATTGTTAACATGTTTTTAGTCTATGAATCTAACAGGAATTTTACAAAACTCAACCTACAGCTCTCTGTTACGTAGAAAGTTTTCAACGCGCTTTTATTGTTGACTTCTGCAGTAAAATGTTCTCCATAAATTAGCAGAAATTCTGCAGCGCAGCAGCACTGGTCACTGCTGCACTGTTGGAGAGGGCAGTCATACTGTTTTCTGTTGAGAACAGGACATTAAACACATTTAGTAAAACAGAAACAAACACTGTAAAGGTTAGATTTAAAACAACCTAAATAAAAAAACTCACTTTAAATGCTCAGTAATGATCAGACTGTTTTCAGAGCAGTTTTGAGATTTTAGCTGACAATAGATCCTCTCAAAGTCATGGCTACAGTCAAAGACCGCTGCAGGATTTCCTGCACAAATAAACGGATAAAATGACCAGAAAATGACTTTTTTTTTTACAATCAAATAATTAAAGGATGGGGTTAATAAACAACTGCCTGCTGCTGGATTTACCAGAGATGAATTGCGCAGCCGCAAAATATCCAAGGAAGATTAGGAGAGAAGCCATCTGCCTGAAAAACCCCGAAAAGAGATGTTTTCATTTTTTAGCCGCGCAGAGGTGATCACTCAGGTTATTAAAACAGGTTTAAAGTTATTTAAATCACCTAATTGCTTCTTTAGTTGTATAAAGGATCCAGTTCTTCTCTTTGAAGGGCGAGAATCCGCTTGAGCTCATAACAGAAGAAAAATGTGCGCATTTCTTCTTCCTGCTTCGAGTGGAAAGCTTTACTGGATCTGTTGCGCCACCGAATAAGGAGGAAGTCACTCCCATTTCCACGTCTGCTGGAACATTCAAGTCCTAGACGTTCATGTTTTTGATGTCTGGGTTTCAGTTTAACGCTTCAAAACTTTACGTATTCCTGCAGTTTCGCAACAAAAGCGCTGTTTCGGTGGGCCAAAAAATACAAAACATGAAACATACAAATAAAAGGCAAAAAGTAAGCGCCATCCATGACCCAGGATGTGTTACATTAAATCAGACAATATAATTGGCACTTTGTTGAATTTAGACAAATTAGGAATTTAAACAGAAGTCACCCCAAAATCACCATTTTTTTTATTTTGTTGATAAACTGTTTAAACGAGTGTGATAATGCTGTGTCGTCCTCATTTTTGGTATTTTAGTTCTTCCTATTCACAAATTCAGCCAAAAACCATCATTAAAACACATTTAAGCAGATGACTTTTGTGTATTCTTAGCTTTACAAGTCTTATTCGCTTGTTTTTTTATTTCAGTGAATTTGTTTTGGTCCTTAAAATGAACGAATGCACTGGATCAAGATGTTTTTGATTTAAAAATAAATAAATAAACAAACAAATAAAAGCTCTGGCATTTATGTTTCAGTGGGCAGAATCTTGTCGGAGAATGGGGGCTGGAAAAACAGGGTTTTTTAATCATTAAAATTCATGATATGCAAATGGTTGCTTCTGATTGGCTAACAGTAATGTAACTCTTCCAGTGTGTTATTTTTCTCTTCAATTTTTTGGTAAAAGAAAAAAGTAACACTGATGCATTATCTCCACAAATAACACAAGCCAGAACCTGTTTTGCATAGCTGCTAATGATTAGCTTCTGCTAGTCAAGATGCCTCTGCTCCCTCCTGAAATAAACACAGCCTACTGTGGTTGCAAGCCAAGGTGGATGAGGCCATGAATGCAAATTTTCTCAGTGACGAAAAAAAAAACTGGCTTCTTCTGATGGGTTCCCTCCCATTTCTGTGGCTAATGCAGGCCATGGATGTAATTTTTTGAGGGGGACCCCTCAGGTCCTCATGCTGGTTGTGTCCCCAAAACTGCGTCCATGACACAGGAAATAAGGATAAAGAAAATGTTTACATTTAGCATCCATATGCAACGCAGAATTACCAATCTTATTTCTAAGCTAAAGTGTATTATATGTTTGCTAACCGAACAAGTTCTTTAAGAAGTTTAAATAATTCTTCAGTCTTAAATTGGTTTTGATATAAAATATGTTTTATTTGTTTTTACAGAATTAAAAATTATTTTATCAAGATATTTAATAAAAGAACAGATACAAAGTAACTGTATATGACGTGATCCGTTGAATTATGCGAGTCTGCTTTGGTCATGTATACAAAGCTCAAAAGCAGACACATGTCACCTGATATTTAAAATACTGAACAAACATATGAGTGTTTCACATTACTACAAATTCAACACAAAACAACTAATCTATAAGGTGCTCAAAAATGTTATATTGTCAAGATATCACAGGCTTTTTGAATCAAAACACAAGCACTAAATATAAAACATTTACAGAAATCACCTCAGTTTAGACATCAGCTTAAAGCCCATGTAAGTGTTCTGTTTTTTTCTGAGATCATGGCTTAGTGAGCTACACACAGTGATTTTCATTGATTGGTATTGTGGAGCCATCATTAGGAATCTTTTGGAAAATACAGAGAACGTGACCATTTATGGCAGTTAGATCATCTGTGGGGTTTTCGGCAGGATGGAAGGAGTTTGGAGGGATTTAATTTAATTTATTTTGTGTTTATATTCAAATACTGATTGTGGTCTCCACTTGGCACTTCTGCAATGACATCTGACTTAAAAGCATCAGAGCGATCTTCCTGATGATGAAATAGCTTTTCCTCCATTGTGGGCAACATGCCACAGGCTGTTTTTTTTTATTTCAGCATTTCTTCTGCTGACAACTCACTAGTCTCATCGACAGTCTTTAATGCCTTTGAGGTGATTGAGTTGGAGTAACTGGATGATTATTTCTTATAAAACGAACTATCATGTTGTATCCAAACAAGCTGGTCGGTCTACATCCGTCACAATACTGCTTTTGTTAGATGAGTACAAACAGTCTGAAGCTTTTTCAGCCTGCCTCTGTGCTGCAGAGCCGTCTCCCTGCTTCTGACCAAAACAGCTGGGAAGGAGCAGAACAGATTCTTCTAATGATGGACAACAATCTAGAACATGACTGATCTTTTACTGAAGGTTTCTCTGGGTGACGACTCAAATCAGCTTTTCTGTCTGTCTGGATGCTTCCTTTCAAGTGGCTTATCTGCAGTCTTGTTTAACCCGGACACAGAAAATGGTTATTTACAATTTCAATACAGTCTCTTTTTAGAAATAAGGTTAGAAATGTGTTGGTGCATACGTACTGAAGCTCTAATTTGACTTATAAATCAACCGATTCAATGATCTGTAACAAAAAGAATAAAAATAATCTGAAGCCAAATCAAAATTAAAATATCTTTAAGACGATTGCGCTATGTTTCTAAAAGCGTAGAGTTTTAAAGATGCAACAATAATGAATGAAAAGTTTGCTGCGTGCAGTTTGGAGGGGAAATTTCTTTATCATAGAGTTTACCCAGTAAAGTGAGCACTTCCTCCTCTGATAAGATGGCCATCAACAGGATGCAGAGGTGTGGACTCGAGTCACATGACTTGGACTCAAGTCAGACTCGAGTCATTATTTTAATAACTTCTGACTTGACTTGATCAAATCTGTAAAGACTTATAACTTGACTCAGAATTGAACGCCAATGACTTGCAAATTGAATAGACTTGCATCTGTTGACTTGATGATGACTTGAGCATATTTGATATTTTAGCACAAAAGTGGCACGACATGGACAAAAATCATAAATCATTCTTCGTTTTGGATTTGATCTTGTTCTGCTAAATGCAGCAGCACTTTGTTTATAATCAGTTTCTGCTTGTTTGAGCAAATAAATGAAGCTTTAAGAAGCTTTATTTCTGGAATTTGTTTATTATCATTGTCATTAATTTGAAGTTGGACAGATGACTTGATTATGTAGCGTGGTTACCACATACTAGGATTTACCACTGTTTGCTTCAGTTTGTTTAGATCCTGAGAAAAGATCGAGCATTAGCATATGAACTTATATTATGCACAAATATTTAGGATATTAATGCAATCGATAGAAGTTCATACACTAACTATCTTGGTCTATATTTTAATCCAAAGATTAATGTTTAATTTAAGATAATTAAATGTAATAGCAAAAGTTTATTTATTGAATCAGAAGTTAGGAATCTTTGCTTATTCAATAACCAAAATATACACCATTCTGTGTTTCATTTAAAAGACGTCAAGTTTTTAAAAGTTAAGAATTTATTACTAACACTTTTAAAAATGACAACTTGAAATGACAATTTGTAACTGTCAATTTGAAACAGCTTGATATTAAACCTGTTATTAAAACAAACCTGTGTCTGGATGGAAAACTAAGGTGGAATGCGAGGTTTGGGATGCGTGAATGAATCTCAGAAGGTTTCTTTCTGAGAGAGAAGCACGTTCTGGATGGAAAACGTTGTTTTGCAGCTAACTCAGTTGTTTATTAGAGAAAACAGCATCGGACACCATCTGTGTGCTACATCACCGATCAGACAACCCTTTGTGTGGATCCGGAGGTCAAAGGAGGATGTTGTCAGCCTCAGGGTACTCGGTCCGGTAGAGAAGACCCGAGTGGAACCGACTCTCTGGTCCAGAGATGTCGCAGGGTACACAGTGTCGAGCTTGCGTCTGGCTTAACTCTGAAGGAGTTTTTGCGTCAGCTGGTTACAGATGCGTTTATTCAAAGCAAGTCTATCGGCGTGACAGAATGCTTAGTAGAGACTTGGGTGGCCGTCCCTCATCTCCTGGTATGGTTCAAGAACTCAACTTACAGCTGCAAAAATTTGGTTTTAACAAAACCTCAGAACACGCCCTCTCAGCATCAGAAAGCTTGTTGTCATGAAGTAAAGGCATGTGAGGTGGTTAAACTTTACCCTGGATTCACCCTCTGCATGAGGTGGTTAACGTGCAAGATGACCTTCTGGTTTACTGAACACACATTACTGATTATCGTAATAATAATAATTATTATTATTACGCAAAGCGTAATAAGTCATTTCAGTAATTAAAATACATTTATACTGAACCAATATGACTATTTATGATGATTGTAATACACAGTGATAAAGTCAAAGAGTTTATTAAAATTATTATTTAAAATTATTATGTTGAAATCTTGAAGTGTCCATCTTGGGACGAAACAGCAGCAGATAAAGATGTTGTTCCGCAGACATCACAGCTCCTGGCGGGTAATCTGTGGGACAAAGTTACAGTTCGACCCAGCTTGACCCAGCTGGGAAAGTGTGACCTCTGTCACAAATTAGAGGCCATTCATGACGCTACAATTATGACTTGAAAATTCAAAGTTAAGGACTTTGACTTGACTTGGACTTCCACATCACTGACTTTGGACTCGACTTGGACTTGGTCATCTTTGACTTGAACTTGACTCGAGACTTGACTGGAAAGACTTGTGACTTACTTGTGACTTGCAAAGCACTGACTTGGTCACATCTCTGACAGGATGTCCCAAAGGCTGTGTGTTTTCCTGCGTGTTATTCATCCCTTATTCACACAGTTGTACCAGTGCCAGTCATGGCACAAATCTAATTAAGTTTGCCAACGATACAACTCTGATCAGCCTTTTCCAAGATAGTGTGCTGCAACACAGTCAACTTGAGTTTCTAAAGCTGCAGTTCTATTAGTTTCTACTCAGCGCAGCTTGAATTGGTTCAACTCAGCTGTACATGGTGCTGGTAGTGTTACAAACAGCTCTAGTGTGTGCGCTTGTCATATCTGGTGTGTGTGTGTGTGTGTGTGTGTGTGTGTGTGTGTGTGTGTGTGTGTGTGTGTGTGTGTGTGTGTGTGTGTGTGTGTGTGTGTGTGTGTGTGTGTGTGTGTGTGTGGTTACAAAGGTGGCATTAGGTGATCTGTATGAAACACAAAACACACACAACAATGACGAACATGGTAGGGATGTTAAAGATTCAGCTCAGTCGGTGGATTGAACAACAACAACAACAACAATAATAATAATAATAATAATAATAATAATAATAATAATAATTTTGATTTATGTAGCACTTTTCAAGGCAATCAAAGCGCTTTCCATTAGTCATGCCTGCCCACATTCATACACTGCTGCTGGGATTGATCCTGCAACCCTCTGATTACTGGACATTACCCTATACCTCCTGAGCTGCAGATGCCCTGTGGACTAAGACTGAATGAACAATTCTCCAGATTATAAATAAGCTAATTTTCAAGGGAGACCTGGCCAAGAGGCAGCAAACGTTAAATTCACGGTGTTGCTGCTGCTGGCTGATGATTGGGGATTTGTGGTTATAAGCCATTTAATATGTGGATCTAATAAAGTTGCTTGTGAATCTTCTCCTGCTGACTTGTTGAACCTGGTTCCAAGTCTTGGCCACTTATCTTATTTTATAGTAGTAAGCATTTAATTTTCTTTAGCTGTTATGGCATGTTAAAACCTGGTGTGGAGAAGAAACATTTCTTCAGGAGAATCTTATCTGTAGTAAATAATAATTGTGACTTTACTCACTTGTACTTGTTTATACATAAAGTTTCTTCTTCAGCTGCCAGAATCACCATTTCTCTCAGGTTTTCCGTTCGGTTTCTGTATTTTCACATTGACCATGAGGTGGCGGTAGTGTTGATTGAGTATGTAAAAAAAACGGCGATTCGGCGAAGAAGAAAACCAAAACACGTCTTTCCGTTGTAAACAGCTAGCGTTAGCTGTTAGCCGGTGTTACGATGAAATATGTCTGTTTTTCTTTGTTTAGCCTCCTGGGTTAGCAGTTCTTGCGAGTAAAACATCACGCAAGTATTCAGAGAAGCGTCTCTTGTTGTGAACCGGGGAATCTCAGGGTTTGACCGGATGTCTGACCGGCGGGTTCTGGTGGATTGTACCGTGGTGTCCCTGCAAGATTCCTGTGTGTTTTACCCGTTCTGTAAAAGCTGCTTTTCACGGATCGATGCGGAACAGCCGGAGACTACAAGGTAAAACACAACCGATCTCTTGGTTTCAGCTTTTCCCCCCAACGTGGTTCCTCATACAGGGATTGTGTGTCGTCAGGTATCGATGCTCCAGGTGCGGCTACAGGTGTCTGGGGGACCAGGTGGAATACAGATACCGTCTGTCACTTTGGGTGGCTCGGGACATGGCCATATTTGGTGTAACTGTGTTTGGAAACAGTTTGAATGCTTTTTTTGGCATTCATGCAACTGGATTGCAGAAGTAAGTGCAGTAAACTGACATTTCTGATCCGACAGAAACAATTCAGTTAATTAAGGATGTCATCAGCTTACCTGGTGACAAGGTAATGTGTCTACACAATCTATTTAAATATGTCAGTAATTCCCTGAGAATTTTTTATCTATAGATAATGTTAGAAAACATTATTATAGCATTTGTCAGAGGTGTGACCAAGTCACTGCTTTGCAAGTCACAAGTCTTTCCAGTCAAGTCTCGAGTCAAGCCCAAGACTAATCAAGTCCAAGTCGAGTCCAAAATCAATGATGTGCAAGTCCAAGTCCTTACCTTTGAATTTTCAAGTCATAATCAAGTCATCTGTCCAACTTCAATTTATTGACAATGATGATAAATACATTTCAGAAATAAAGAAATAAATTATACTTTCTTCTTCTTCTTCTAAAGCCTCTTAAAGCTTCATTTATTTGCCCAAACAAGCAGAAGCTGATTATAAACAAAGTGCTGCTGCATTTAGCAGAACAAGATCAAACCCAGAACGAAGAATGATTTATGATTTTTGTTCACCTCGTGCCACTTTTGTGCTAAAATATCAAATATGCTCAAGTCATCATCAAGTCAACAGATGCAAGTCGATTCAAGTCGCAAGTCATTGGCTTTCAAGTCCGAGTCAAGTCGTAAGTCTTTACAGATTTGATCAAGTCAAGTCAGAAGTCATTAAAATAATGACTCGAGTCCAAGTCATGTGAGTCGAGTCCACACCTCTGGCATTTGTAGTGTAAAATATTGGAACAGCTTTTTATTTCCTCTGTAGAAAGTTTCCCTTTCTCAGTTTGACGAATATATACTCAATTAAAAACAAACAAAAAAAAAACAGTGCAAAGTTTTATTATTTGTTATTTTACAGGTTTGTGGACAGTTTGGAGGGTCCTGTAGTGGCATCGACAAGATCCAGATTGTTGGCGACGGCGGTCAGGGACTGTTTCATTGGCAGACATTTCATCTTTGGCATAAAGGTAACAAGTGAGATCAAATCAACTCAAAGATACTTTATTAATCCCAGAGGGAAATTAGAGTTTCAGTACACACAATTCAGAGATCAGACATACATGGGCAAGACACATGACAAGAATTGGTGACTGTGGTCATTCGCAACCCTGAGTCGCGCTACCTTAATAGAGATAAGAGGGGTTTACGTGAGGATTGGTTCAGGTGGAGGGGAAAAAAGGCACTTCAGAGTTACCCTCCACAGGGAGGGCAGCTTTGCTCTTCAAAAGAAAAAAAAAACACCTCAAACAGATATGCAACAGACTTCAGACAACACAACAAGTGTCCTGAAGGTGGGGTGGTGGGTTGGGACTATCCCCACTTCAGTTCCCGCAGCCACGATAAGCAGCGCATGTCACCTCAGTGTGGATGGGGGAGGAGCATTGAGGGTTGGAAGGTTGCAGTGACCCTGGAACGTTTCAGCGGCCTTCCCGCTGTCCCGCCCAGGCTGGGATAGGAGACAGAATTGAGTTGCCATAGCGACAGCACATTCCACATATTTTCACAACATGCCCTATAGGTTAAAAAAAATTGTAAGTCGCTTTGGGTAAAAGCGTCTGCTAAGCACATAAACATAAACATATTTTCTGAGGGGGGAGTTTTCGTTGGAGCCTTGCAGGCTCAAGGATGCCAGATTCCAATTAGAAATTGTTTTGGGGACAGACAGAGACAATTTCCTCTCTGTCTTACAGTTTGCTGGTCCTCAACCTCTCAAAATCCTAATAATGGACATTAAACTATCCCAGCTCGTGCTGATTCGTCCACTCTCTCCTTGATGGCATCCATCTTTTGTGCCAATAATGAATCTCGGCCAAAGTCCCAAGCTTACGATTCATCTCGACAATTATGTGTGTCTGTGAATTCACAGCGCGGTGCAAACCATCTCTGAGCCTCGGGATCTGGCCAGTATTCCTCGACAGCTCGTTAATTTTCCGGTAAGCCAGGTAGCCTCCAATGCCGATCAGCAGGAAACCCGACACCAACACCACGAATATCCACACATCTTCTGAGTCCTCCACAGACAGCTGTCTGTCCCGGCGGGGCATCCGGGAGCCCCTTCTCCCGTTCTCATCATTGAAAAAATTTTGTGAACCGCGTTCAGTGACCAACTGCCGAGATCCATTTTAGTGAATTTCAGTTTCCAGAAAAAATGCAGAAGCAGCCGTGCACCCAGCACACAGAGACAGACAAAGGCCTTGAGGATAAGATATGGAGGAGAGGAGAAGAAAAGCGTCTGCACCCTTCAAGAGTCGGAAGAAGAGATGTTTATTATCTCAGGATATCATTAAACTGGCCATGCTGTTACTTTATTTACTTGTGGAGAAATGATATTTTAGCTTAACCCTTTGTTGTTATGTGACTGTAGTGTTATGCAACGATGTTCAATAGACACAAACCTGCCAGGATGGACCTTTAACTTTAGGGTGAACGCAAATGCAAGAAAAAAGCACAACATATTTGTGATTTAGACACGTTGTCACCATGAATGAACAGACTGAAATAAAATAAATATCAACATTATTGATGTTTATGGAATTATTAAAATTTTAAATAGAGTTAAAAAAAACACCTAAAAAGTAATCTCATTAAAAAACATCAAACACTAATTATTGATTTTCCATCACATTTTTTTGCATCTTTTTTCACTTTTTTTCAATCAATCCGATTGTCTCGAAGTTCTCGGCCGATGCACACTCATCGGTTTTGTGCTTAATGTCAGTAACTTTTTAAAGAGGTAAATATTTAAATCTAGAACGTTTGCAAATGAACTCTCCTGCCCATGGTTTCTTGTGGTAAGTTGCTTTTTAATGTTACTTAATTTCAGCTCTGCCTTTTGTTTGTCTCTGCTTTAGCTGACCAGGGCAGAAAATGGCCTTTGGTTTGGAGATCCTGGTTCAAATGGCTCCAGAAGTGGGGAGTCGACTCAGTTTGTTGCCAGTCAGATGATTCTTCCCAAAGCAATGGGCTCGACTGGCTGCACCGTGCTCAGTTATTACCAGATTCTCCTTCAGAAGGCTTCAGAAGACGGATCAGCTGATCCAGCTTCACTTCTGCTGCTGAATCCGTCTCCAAGATGCAACACCACTCTGCAGGCATCTGGTCTCTCCCAGTCACTAAACGGGTGAGGAAATATTTTTAGAAATGTATTTGTTGGTTTCAAAATGAAAAATTTCTTTAGATTAATTTCAAGTACAATAATTTTGGAAACATTATTTACAAATGGGATATTGTCCGTGATATTTTATGTAAAACACATTTAATCTGACAGTTACTAAAATTTTCACTCTAGATCACAACACCCTCATAGCTCACTTGCTCCCACTTCTCCATGGCAACAGTCTCTTGGAGTCATTACGTCGTCCGCTGAGCAGGAAGAGGACAGCAAAGAGGACAGGACAGCGCCACGTCCAGAGCAGGAGGGTCATCTGGAAAAGCTAAAAGGAACAGAAGAGATCACACCTCTTCTCCTTTTGGAGCACAGTTTCTACAATAATCCGTCATTTCCCGACTATCCAAACTCATCTTTTGGAAAAGTTGCGGGAAACGATCTCAGTGACCACAAAAGTTGCAGCCTCACACCAAAGGAGTGCTCTAGCAGACATCACACCGGGTCGTTCCTGTCGGGCTCGTTAGAGTGGGAGGATCTGCCTTTCTCTGAGAGCCTTTCAAAATTTTTACACGAGCAAACCAAAGATTTTGAGAACCTGGAGGAAAAGAGGCCAAATTTAAACCTGCTGAGTGAAAAACGCACATCGAGAAGCTGCCTGGATATCACAAATCTAGCAGCTGTATCAGCATCTGCTTGCCAAAGAAACACAGAGAAAACAGCCAGTCGTTCATCAGTTTTATTAGATATCAGTAATACACCTGCGGCAGGTGGGGACAGTCAAGATTTAGCAGCTCGAGAACACGAGAGACCCGAAAACAAACGTCTTTGTTCTCATGGCTGTAATCAGGAGGATGACAAAGCTTTTCTGTCTTTTGTTAAAGAAGATGAGCAGCTTGAAGAGGAAAGCTACAACTGTTCAGCGGACTTATTCGGTAACTCGCTGATGGACGACAGAGAGACGCACGCAGAATCTCCCAGGGCAACGTCGCCGCTGAACCTCACGCCGTTAACGCCACTCAAACTGAAACAAAAAGGCAACAGCAGGCACAGTTTGGTTCTGCAGGAGTTAGACTTTGTTCCTCCTTCTCAGTCCACTCCCATCGTGAAACTAAGTGCTGCGACACGATCGCCCGTCGCCTCCTTCACAAACTTGACAAGTGAGTCTTCAAAGAACAATTTAACACGAGGAAGATTCAGCAGCCGCAGCAAGAAGGCTACTCCTGGGAGGAGGTTTGGAATTTCAGATGATCGTAAAAAGTTGTGTCAGAATTGGCGGGAGGAAAGGCTCCAAAGACGAGCTGGAAGCTCTGAGTCGGCTAGAGCAGTGAATCACAAATCTCGAGTAAAAGATGAGACGGTTTGTAGTCATGAGGACGATGGGGAGATGGTCGCTCCCACTCCAGTTGGTAAACAGCCGAGGTGTCAGGAAATGGTAAATGGGGGCAGCGATTTGGACTCAACCTGGAAAAGAATTGTGGAAGATGGAGTCAGCTATAAAACACGTTTCATGGATGAAACCCAGAAGTCGTCACACAGAAGTCAGAAAAAAACAATAAATGATGAAAGTGGGACTGATGACGAGGCGAGTCTGGATGGATCTAATGTGGTCTGTGATGGTGAAAACCAGACGTGTGATTGGTCCAGAGATCTGTTCTCTGACACCAGCTGATTATCTCAACTACAAAGATTAGATGCGTTTTGTCCTGGTAGCTCATGTAGGTTTCAGCGTGAAGCTGTTCTGCTGGTTATACTGGAGCAGCTTCCCTTGGTGCAAAAAACACAAAAGCATTTCTGTCCTCTGTTACAGGCTAATCAAGTAGACTCACCTTTTTGTCCATGCTTTATTTGAAATTTGGAAGTTACTGTAATCAGATTACGTATGACTAAGAACGACTGGAAGAGAAATCCTGCTGTAGCCAAGTAATAAATGTGTAAAAGCAGCACCTTTTGTGGGAAACCTGATGAATTTACAGAGATATTTTTGTAAATATGTTTTTAATTACAAATGCTTTCTGGTAAATGCTAATAAATGTAAATACAATTCTATTTATTAAAATATTTAATTTGTAAAAGTTTCCTGAAATTTTCTTCTTTTGTTTTAGTGTTTTTCAGAAGAGTATGGAAGCCCATTGCTGCCACTCTGATAAAAAATACATTTTTATCTCATAATTATGACTTGGCTTTCTCATAACAATGTGATAGTGTCATTTTTATGAGATGCTTTTATTTAAAGTTACAGTGTGTATTTTCCTGGCGATAGGGGGCAGTAGATACCTAAATCGTTGCAAACAAACAGTATTTTTGTGTTGAGTAAGACCTGACCAATGGATGCCCATTAGGGTAAAAAAAGCCCTGGGGAGTGCAAACTTCAGCAAAATAACAAGCACATCAGATTCCCTTTCATCACTGGCAACAAGTGAAGAGGTAAATGTGTATAACAACAACGTTTAAGAATAACGAAAGTTTTATAATCATTACAAATCAGTAAATGCATTTTGTCCTCATGGGCTCCCTTAGAATGAAACATGGCATCTAATATGGCATCGTCCGGAGACTTAGACCCGCTCCCATGTATTTTAGACTTGATTTTTATGGTTACATGTTACAAAGCCGCCAATATTCAACAACTGAGCATCATTTCATTCATTTTCAACAACATTTTGATGGATGTTTCCAGAGATTAACAGTAAAGACCACACACGGTTTCTTTAATCAGAGTGGCAGAAATGGGCTTCCATATAGATTCAACCACTTTTAGTTTGAAGATTTTTTAATTTATCAATCTATGAATCAACAAATACTGTAGGATTACTTGCTAAATGTGATATTTATAAGCTAGCGAGTCAGCTTGAAAATCCGATACAACACAAGGACATCAAGTAGGTTTAAATTTCTTTCTGCAGGCCTAAGCGGCCCAAATCCTCTTTTTCTTGCTTTAGTGTAACCCCATGATTGATTTATATCGGTCTGAGCAGCACAAATCTGTGTGTTCCTAAATCTGATTCATGGGATTTTTTTCAAGTTTCTTGTGTTTGCACCATCACACACTTCTGCACTCGATGAGGCAGGAAGCTAAAATTCAAACGTCATACTTGTTCAGAACGTTGTCAGTTCTGCACAACAACTTCAGATTTTGCGATTTCATGTGCATCCCTTTAACGCTCAGCTGTTCAGAAACCCTCACAGTCTGCTGGCTAGCTTCTCTTTTAGCTCCTTTAATATGGATTTAATCAGAAAACATTTCGGCGAAGGGGTGAAATAAGGAACGAGTGTGCCATTGCTAGAAAACACTGTACATCACATCCCTAACGAGTCTCTCTTGAACTTCTTTCAACTGGCTGTAAATCGTGCTGCTCCTTGGCACGGCTTTCAGCGCACCGAGAGGGATTTCAGTCATGGGTTATGGAGATAAGCGTGTGGACAGTGTTGTGCCAAAGAGCTAAGAATAGCTGTCATGATGACTATGTTCAGGATGTGTGAGGAAGAGAAAGAGATGAAGATGATGTTACAGGTTAAAAAGGAAACTGTACAGGCTGTACACAGCTGGAGTCTGAGCTGCACGAGGGGCAGAAAACAGGTTGGTATGTGGTCAGGTGGCTGAGGGATGACTATGCACGAGTCTAATCGCAGAGTTAGAATTAGATAAATGCTATTTAACAATTTTACTACACATTTCAGGCTAAATTGTCGCAGTTGACTTAGCTTTCTCATAACAATGACAGCATGGTTGGATTAGTGCAGATGTTGCTGCAGGTGTTTCAGTAAAAGATGCAGATTCCCTTTACAGCCTCTACTGTCTTGTTTTTGTTCTGCTTCAGCTCTGAACAGAACTGTTGCCCTGAATGAATTAAAACAACCCTCAACTTCCAAAGAAGCCCGGCCCTGAACCTTAGTAGTGTTCTCTCGATGGTTTCTCAGCGGCACCATCTGCAGTGATGTTTGTTGCCAGTGTTACTCAGTTTGGTGCAAACGTCAACACGTTCCTGTATTTATTGATAAAATCACAATTAAATTAATCATAATTATAAAATGTGGTAAATTAATAAAATTTCAGTCTTTGAGGTATTTTATTTTATTTTTTTTTGCATTCATAGTTTTGTTTCTCGGTACAGTCTTTTATTTTTTTTTATTCTTTTCTCTTTTATTCTTGCTGTAAACCTTACTGATTCAGTCCCCGGTGAGGGACAAAGGAAATTTCTGTTCTATACAAATTAAATGAATACCTAAATGAATAAAAAAGCAAACAAATAAATAATTTAGGCCTTCAGTTTCTGAATGAAAGAAAAAAACCTGGAAAGGTTTGTTACATTTTGTAATCTTTTGCAGGAAGTATGCAAAAAAATTTAAAAATCTTTGGTAGCACTTTACAATAAAGGTCCTTTTATTAACATTACTTAGTGCATTATTAAGCATTAATAACCTATTAATTCATTAGCAACCTTTTACTATTAATGTTAATTTTCCTTAATGTTAGTATACCCCAGTCCTAACCTTAAGAACACCTAATAGTTAAAATATTGGAGACATTAATAAAGGTATATTTTGTTAATTAATGCTTAATAATTCACTAAGTGATGCTATTAAAGGGACCATTTGTTTGTTTATTTGTTTCCAACATTTTGTTAAAAAAAGCAAAAAGTCTTTGTTGCGCTTCCGTCTGTAACACTAAACAATGTCCTCAGGATCTTAAATGAGGTGTAACTTCAGTAATTAGAAAAGATGAGATTTAAAGCTGCAAACAGTAGTTTTAAAGGGGAACTGGGCAGTTTTAGCTTGATTTTAGCACCCCTAGTGTCCGTTTGTAGAATCGAAAGTAAAACTTATCTCCTCGCTGTGTGATTGTCTTCTTAACACCTTAATCTAACAGCTGAAATGTCTCCCCAGCCTTCATTAGTGTCTGCAGGAGTCATTCATCAATAAATTAAACAAATCAGCTGTGTTCATGATTTAAAACATGCAGGAAATGTGCTGCAAGCAGACTGCAGCACCAGGTATGTCGGCTTAATTTGATCAGATTGGACTGGCAACTCTGAAGTTGCAAGTGAAATATACTGGCCATGGGGGCAATAGTGGCTGGGTGGCCTTTCATTAACCCTGTAAAGGGTCATTTTAGCACATGATGGCTCAAGAAAATTATTTTAAAATATGAAAATGTTGCAAAGTATCCCTTTAACTTCCCCTGTGGGACTTGGCACCACTGAGTTCATCAACTGACCTGTTTTCAGCTTAATGGGAGAGATGATCTCATCATTGTTTACTTCTTGTAACTCTACCATTACGCTGTGCAGATTTGCTGAGTGCAGTCCTGGAACGTGTTGTTTCCCCTAAAGCTACAGCTGTGTCTCTGAGCTGCACACTATTCCACACTCAGCTGGTACGGTACGTGAGCTATGTCACCGCACACCCGGTGAGTGGAAACACTTGGAGCCTGGCTCGCTCTTATGTGAGAGGGGCCACGTTGCTCTGGTTCCCAAATCCTGGCTCTGGCTCTTCCAGCTGAATGCACAGTGAAACTTAAAGCTCCACTCATAAACGGCGCATCTCTCAGTGCCTGTGGTTAATAACACGAGCCTGAAGGGCTCTTGCATCTGCAGAGACAGACTAAGTCACGGTGCTTTCAGTCCCCAGGATGCCCACCACTGGAATGAACTCTCTGTGGCACAAAAGACCTGCTGATTTCTATAATTTATCATCATTTAATAAGTAACATAAGTAATAATTTTATTTTAAAAGTAGTTTGATGCACTTTTTTCTGGTTTTGTTTTTGCACTTTGAAAATTGTTTCTGTAATTCTGAAACAATTTTGTTTATCTGAGCTGTTATCTCCCATATTGCAGCATCACACAATTATCTACCGGAATATTTTTGTTTATTTCACATTATTTTTTAGGTTTTATTGTTTGATTTTAATTAGGATTCAGAGTTAGGAGTCGGGGACACAGGAACACACACGTTACCTGCACACACACTCGCACAACGTCGATCAGATGGTCGAGAATGTAACAAATAATTTCTTTTTCTTTTCCTTAGGATTAGAGCCTAAATTGGCTTCACTGGAGGACTTGAATGATCAATACAGACTTTAAGGTAGAGAGGAAAATTATCTCTGCCTGACCCAAACAAAGTCTTGTTAACCAAATCTGACGCCAAGGCAGCCTTGAGCTGCTAACAGCCACCACCACCCCCACCACCCCACCCCCCCTGCCTCCCTATCAGAGTCTCATGTTGTGAACTGTGATGTTCGTGCTTATATGTTTGAGGCGTTTTTTTTGCATAGTAAAGCTGCGCCCTGCCGGGAGTAACTCTGGTTTGCCTTTTTTCCCCTCTCCCAATTTATCCTCATGTAATCCCCTTTTCATCTTTTAAGGTAGCGCGACTCGTGTTGCGAAGGACCACAGTCACCAATTCTTGTCATGTGTCTTGCCCATGTATGTTTCCCCAAATGTGGATGCTATTATATGTCATGCATGCTCTCCTCTTGTCTTCAGAGGATTTTGAGATGGTAAACTACGTAAAGACCTTAAATTGGCCTCTTGTCAGAAATAAAACCTTAAAATCAACAGGAAACCGCCTGCATTTTGGACCAACATGTAAGTATAACGTGAGGAAGTGAAGTAATCAAAATGAGAGGAAAGAAAATCTAGTCTGAACAGAGCTTCCTAGTCATCTTAGCCGCTAAACTGCAGACATCTTGGGTTTAACAACTGAATGAGCATGTTTCCTTAAAGGTGAGCCAAGATTCTTAGTCTGTCTGGTGTATTTTCATCATTGCAACATGAGCGCTAACAGAGGTATTCGTTTGTGCTACAGGACAAAATTCAACTGGGTCACAGTGTAACACGGTGTCCTGCTGTAGTATTTCCATTGCACAGTTGTCGGGGAGAATGTGCACCAGCCTCGTGGACGGCAGGAGGTGTGGCCGTAACTGTAGAGTGCCACAGAGATTAAAGTGGTGACAAGCACGTGGGTCGAAGGGTGGAGAGATGACTTAGTATGGAGATGTCAACAAATCGTCAGCTGACATAAACCGGCTCCTGACACTGGAGAAGATTCCCTCTGTAGAACTAGAACAGACAGACGTGTTTTCAGGCGCTTCTTCTTCAGTCTTCGCTACAAAAGATTCAAAATAAAGCAAAGAAATCCAGAACAACTGATGACAGACATTCCCCGCTAAAGTGCTCTGCTCAAGATGACTATGAACTGTTTGACCTTTGACCTTTTTCTGCAAGAAAGCACAGATCAAACACCCTGAGTTTGACCTCTGAGTGGTGTGCTGTTGTAGTTGGAGGCACTTCTGTGTGTTTCTTTGTGAAATGGACCTGCTCAAATGCTGTGTTCTGGTGGTACCGGCTCTACTCGCTGTATCTCTGAGCTCTCATGTGGGTCTCCTGAGGGCGAGTGTCAGTCCCCCTCCATAACGGGTCATGGAGATTCTGACATCAGAGGCCAGCACTCCATATAGGCACACGAGCTTCCGCGTCACGCCTCGCTCCCAATATGAAAAGCGTGTGATTGTTTTCCGAATGAGACAGCGTGCACAGATAGTAACCTGGGACTATTTATCCTCCATGGAGGCTCTTTTCTCTCACTAAGTGGGAGTGACACAGTCAGGGTTTGCTGCTCTTCTCCTTACTAAACATGGAGGTAAGACATTATTTATTTCTCCACCGTTTAAATGTTTCATGCTTGTCAGTGAAAGTTAGAAACGTTTGCTCCACACTGAAGCTTCTTTGTTGTTTTATGTAAACATGTAGGTTTAACCATCCTGGAGTGCATTCTGAAATAATTATTTATTTATTTGTATGCTTCAAATATTCTTCCGTGTTTCTTGTTGATCTTTTCGTTCTTAGTGTTGCATGTTGCGCTTCTGAAAGATGTAAAAAGATGAAAGTGTGTGTGTGTGTGTGTGTGTGTGTGTGTACAGCATCTTACACATTTGACCTTACACTGGAAAAATCTCTGTGATCGGTTGTTGTTTTAATCTTTGTTCCACAGAACATTTGAACTCCGATCAGGGAACCGGTCATTCACTCACCCAAAACAATGCATTCACATTTCTTCAGTTAATTTAAGGCTCTCAGTTTTGATTTTAGGAACATTATTAAACATCTTGAAGTTAAAATACGTGTTTTTGCTTTCAGGTTTTGATGGAAGGTTAGAATGATGAATATGTAACTGAGTAAACTGTGATATTTTTTCAATCACTGTTACATTTTCAGCTCACTTGAACCGATTGAACTCTGTTTCAGTCAACATGATCCTTTTCAGAAAGTCCTGCACACATTTGGGTTACTGATAAACCATCAGCTTCTTGTAGAGGAAGCATCTTTATATAAAACAGTAAGAAACATGGGGGGGGGGGGGGGGGGGACTCCTATAGCTTTAAAACGATGAGAAATCTGCCATCCCCACCAACTAATATAGTGTGAGGAAATTCTTCTGTGCACACATGAATAGAAATGCTTAACTTCTCTATTCCTCTTTGAATGCCCTAATTTCTTTTTTTTTCCAAATTGTAAATTCATATGATTTATACCAACTTTGAGGAGCAGATTCACTGAGAAACCATTTTTACTTACTATATTTGAAAATGATCAGTCGCTCTCAGCGTGCAGGCTGAACATGCCATAAGCTCTTTAGCTTAGCCTTTAGCTGATTATTATTTATGATTTATGTTCATGTATTTAGCAGACGCTTTTGTCCAAAGCGACTTCTAGGTGATAATCAAGCCAGCAGGTTGCCCTTGAGGCTAACAACAAACACTATTCAGGCAATCCTAGGTGGCAGTGAGGCAGCATAATGCATAATAATAATAATAACAATGACGATGATAAAGAATGAAAGAGGAAAGCGAACACAGAGTGTGCAGTAGAGTGGGGGACGGGTGCAGGGAGGGTGCTAGATTAGAAGATGCTCCCTGAAGAGCTAGGTCAACAAGGACGGCCCTGTTATAGTGGTTGGTAGGTCATTCCACATCTGTGGAACGACACATGAAAAGAGTCTGGATGGACCTTACTTTAATATTTTAATACAGTTTTGTTATATATTTATGTTTTTATATTGTTTTACTATTTCAAGAGTTATATTGATCACAATTTATTTATTTTTATATCACCTCTCGTTATTTTATTCTTTTACTTATTCTAATACTTTACAGCGTTTCCTCTATGGGAGCCCTCGCCGGCCGCAGCGACCTGGGTGCTGCTTGGGTGTTGTTGGTGGGGGCCCTCGCCCTTCCTCCTCTGGGTGCCCTGTGTTGGTGCCCCCTGATGGCATTTTCTTATGTAACTGACTTAACTGAGCTCAGCCCAGTGTTTACTTATGTTCTCAAGTGTGTTGTGTGTATGTGTGTGTGTCACTGGGTGGGGGTATTTGCCAGTATTTTTTATGGGATATATGTTTTTTTTAATTTGTGGGGTCTTTTTAATCTGTAAAGAACTCTGTGTTACATTTTTGTATGAAAAGCACTTTATAAATATAGTTTGATTTGATTGAACGTGAAAATAGTCTCCTACACCTATCTCCTGCAGTAGCTTCTGATAGAAAATAGAGAGTGAAATGCTAGGATTCGAAAAGGCCGACAGATCTGAGTCACACTGTCACTTCATGGACTCACCCATTTGGACTCGCGATGGGGAAGACTGCTGTTGGTTTAGCGTCCAGGAAACAGCAGAGAACGATGTCTTGGCTGGTAGAAGCTAATTGTTAGCATTAGCAACTACACCACACAGCAGAACTCCTTCAGGCTTGTGTTATTTGTGAAGGCAGGAGAGTCAGTGGTAGAGTTGTGTTGCTGTTATCCAATCAGAGATGAGATGTCAGAATATCAGGAAATAATACTCCAAATCCTGTCGTCTGAAGCTACTTTCTCCTCCAGCTGACCCATACTTCCTGAAAAAAAGGGGATCTGAGCCCGCCCCCCTTGAGTATGACTGACACCCACTGCAAATGTATTAAAGATCTGAGTAACGTTAACCGTTGATGCTTGACACTTGTGACAGCTCTGTCCTCTACCTGAGAGGTTGCCATGCCGTGATAACAGTGGTCAGGTTTTAAAAATGGGGTTTCTCTTTATTCGTTTTCTCCAGACGACCAGTGCTGAGGATGCAGGTCTCTACTCAGCATCACTGATGAAACATCTGAACCTTCAACGAGGACGGGGTCAGTTCTGTGACTGTGTGCTGAGACAGAACTCAGATCAGGTGTATCCTGTACACAGGTGAACAGCAAACACTTCTAAAAAGCACTCAAATATTCTCGTGCTGGTAAGATAATCATTCATATCCAAGTTTTATTCATCTTTCATGTGATGGTTGTGATTTTGTGCCCTTGTAGGTGTGTCCTGGCAGCTTCTAGTCCAGTGTTGGCCTCCATTCTGTCCTCTACTGGTGCCTTGGTGGAACTGCAGGATCCATGTCTGTCAGAGTCTGTAATAGTGTTTCTCCTGGATTATATTTATACTGGGATTCTGCCATCTTCTCTCAGCCAGCAGCAGTACCACAGACTGCTCACTGCTGCACGCCACCTGAGAGAGGATTATAAGACACCTTTCGTCAAACTTTTTGACAGGTCTATTGTTCTTTGACCTTTCATTCCTATTGTTCATTTGACCCTTGACCTTCCCCCCCCCTTCCTATCATTAATCAAATGGACAGGTGTATTGTTCAATCTTTGCCCCCCCTTCCGTATCATTAATCAAATGGACATGTGTATTGTTAATTGTCCAGATGGGCTAGACCCCCCACGCCGCATCATCAATGGCGTATTGTTGAACGTGTCCAGATGTCCATGATTCCCCACGTCATAGGCTAATGTGTGTAATGGTGTGTGGTTTCTTTTTTGTGATAGCCCATCGGTTCCCACAGCCCCCCTCCCTTCTGAGTGTAATCCTATTGTGTTTAACTCTTTAAAAGCTCAGATCTGTCCGAATGGTGAAAAGCCGAGCTCTAAGAAAAAATGATGAACCACGAGGAAGAGGTGCCTACTACATCCGACGCTTCAACTTCAACTCAAAAAGTGAAAGAAGAGAGCGTGGATACGCCGCTGTCAAAAACCATGCTTTGTGAAAAATCCATCGCTATACATCAGATGCCGGCTGGAATTGGTGCCCCCCGCAAATCTACATTTTACATCTGCAGAGTGCAGGTTCCTCCTTTCGGCGGTAAAGAGATCTTGGAGCAAATATGGCAGTTGGAACCTTACGGCTATACCGGTAGTTTTGGGTACCGGTTCAGCTACGACACTAAGGAACTGTGTTTAATCCAAGATGTGGCTGAGGGCGAACCTCTTAAATCCTATTTATCAAACTCACCAGCGGTTCTCTCCTACAACGATTGGGCTGTGCTCAGGCTGGCTGTTCCACGCAAGGTGCACAGAGATGATCCTGAGAGACCTCGTCCGCCTGTCAATCGCAGTGGGCCGCAAGCTCTTCCAACGTTGGATGAAATCCAGAACGCTGTGACAGCATTCAGCGCTTCATGGGAGGGGGAAGAGGATGCTGATGGAGAGTGGATGTTCAAGGCCTCGGTCCGTGTGAGAGGATTTGAGCTCTTTTTTGTGCTGGAGAATGTGCATTCTGTATGCGGAATTTACCGCCTTCTACAGGTTGTACCTTTCGAAGCCTGGTGTGAAAAAATAAATGAAGTGGAGGATCGTATTACTTCATTTTTTCGTACCAGCCGCTGTTGGAACGACATTCTGACAGTGCGAAAAAAGCTGGAGTTCTAAGACCTGCCTTAGGAGGAGGAGGAGGAGGAGGAGGTTGCATCATCATACCACGCCCCCCACCCAGCACTAGTTATAAAGAGCTTACAGTTAGAAACCATTTCATCCAGACGATCTAGGCATCAGCATGACGGGGTTCTACAATCAGTCGACCCTTAAAGACCTTTGGAGCCCACCACCGAGCTGGGTACTAACGGATTCATCACCACCGAGATACAACACCAGTCCGAGGTCCAGATCGCTACCATCACCACCACCGCCGAGATACAACGGCAGTCCGAGGCCCGCATCGGCACCATCGTGTTTTCCAGAGGATAACCTACCACGACTCCCCACCATCATGGAGGTTCCAGAGAACGTACCATTCAGGCCCTGGGTCGACGGGGCTGATCCACCTTTGGTGACATCAAACCCTGAGCCGCCGCCAGGTCATGAGGAGGAGGAGGATGTGCAACCCCTCGACATCCAGAGCACCGATGAGGAGCCTCACCGTCTGCCTGACTGGGTGTTTTCAGAAGACAAAGTAGACCGTGTGAAAATGGGTCTTCTTCACTTGGTCAACATGGCGATCAAAGCTCACTTACCAACCATCTGCCACGGATGCAAGATCGATCACCCCAGTCAACGGCAACACGAATGTCTTTACGTAGCTGAAAATGAATTATTTTACGATTTTCACTTTACGGACATTATTCGCAGGGTTTTAACACCTAAACTGATTCCGGCTCTTCAAAGTTTTCTCAGTCTGCACGGCTTCCAGCCTCTGGACACTGAGATTCTGTTCACCATGGCTGTGACGCAGCTGCACGGATTCAGGGCTGTGATGCCCATTCACAAAGACATTTTTCCGGTGTACGATCGCCTGTCCAAAGCTGACCTGGACGCGCTGTCCGGGGTGGTGATGGAGTGAGCGAGCTGCGGAGGGTCTCTTCTACAACTTTATTATTATATTTGACGACAGTATGATTAGTTTTTAGTTCTGACTAGTGTTTAGATTATATTTGTAGACTGTGTGATTTTATTCATTATATTTGACGGCTGTTTTTTACAGTATGATTAGACTGTGTGATTATATTTGATGACTGCTGTTTTTTACAGTATGATTAGATTGTGTGTACAATTTATGAAATAAAAAGAACTAATGAAAACAAATGTGCATCATTTTTGCCAACCATTCATCAGAGATGGAGGAGGTAATGAAAAAGGTTTATTTTACACCAGAACATCAGGGTAGTTACGGTGGTGTGGAAAGGTTTAGAACCGGTTTACAACAAGATATTGGGGAGAAAGTTTCATCGGATAAGGCTCGCGATTTTCTCTCAGAACAAGACGCCTATACACTTCACAAACCTGCAAGAGTTCATTTTCCGAGAAATAAGGTTTTTGTCTCAGGGCCGCTAAAACAGTTTCAAGCTGACTTATGCGACATGCAGGCCTTGTCAAAATCAAACGACGGCTTTAATTACCTATTAACCGTCATAGATGTATTTTCAAAGAAAGCCTATGTACGAGCCCTGAAAAACAAATCGGGGAAAGATGTTACAGAAGCTTTTGCTTCAGTTTTGAAAGACAGCGGTGTCCCTAAAAAATTGCAAACGGATTCCGGTAAAGAATTTTTTAATAAGAAATTTGAAGCCCTCATGAAGAAACACGAAATTGTGCATTTTGCCACAGCCAGCAGCGTAAAGGCCAGCGTTGTGGAGAGATTTAACAGGACTCTAAAAGGTAGAATGTGGAGATATTTCACAGCCAAAAACACCCATCGCTACATAGATGTGATTCAAGATTTGGTGAAAGGTTATAATCATAGCTACCACACTTCTATCAAAATGGCCCCCTTTGAAGTTAACACGGAAAATCAATGGCAAGTGTTTCGCAACCTTTACGGGACCACCGCACCGAAGCCTGCAAAGAAAATGAAGTTTAACAGGGGTGACGTTGTGAGAATTTCCAAACTCAGAGGTGTTTTTGATAAAAAATATGAGCAGAGTTTCACGCACGAGCTGTTCACAGTGGACCAGTGTCTTCATCGAGCACCGCCGGTTTATAAACTCAAAGATTTTGATGGGGAAAAAATTGAAGGGTCATTTTATGAACCCGAATTGCAGAAAGTAAACTTATCGACCGAACGATCCTTCCACGTTGAAAAAATTTTAAAGCGCAGAACTTACAGAGGCCAGAAGCAAGTGTTTGTTAAATGGCTTGGATGGCCTCAAAAATTTTCCAGTTGGATTAAAGCCTCAGACCTGCACGACGTTTAAAAAACAGATACAATAAAAAAAATGGATCTGAGACAAGAGGAGGGTTTTTATATCACATTGCCCTCTAACGCCAGTAACGAGGTGTTTAAAAATAACACGATTGCCAGTTACAGAACCGATCTAGCCCGTCACATCAATCTCAATGGCAGGTGGCAAGTGGGACTGTCTGAAATCAATTACGTACACTCGTGGTTTAATTTACCGAACGATCGTGCGTTTGTTGAATGGCGACGAGTGAAAGAACCTAAGAAAATCAACAGAGCTCCGATTACTCCCGGATATTATAAAGCTATCCAAACACTTAGAATGGAATGTGAGACTGCTATGAGAAAGATTGATCCTGATTTCTATCTCATTCACAGATTCCCCGACCCCATTCTCAAATATCAGATCGGTGATGAAATAGAATTTAGATTTTTAGCGCCTCTGGCCTATCTGTTAGGTTTCAACGCGGGTGAGTGGTTGACGCCTGAAGGTACTTCAGGCATCGATGAACCTATCAAATCGGCGCCTCACCCACCCGATTTAACAGGCGGTCTATATCAATTTTACTGCTACACGGATGTCGTGACCGAGCAGTTGGTCGGGGACGTCTTTGCGCCTTTATTACGTACGGTGAAAGTTGAAGGGACCTTCGGTCACACGGTCACTCATGTGTTTAATCCTGTGGATTACATCAGCGTTTCTACGAATCATATAGAAAGCATTCATATCGAAATAAAATCTGATCAGAATGAGCCGATTCACTTCTTATACGGAAAAACAACGGTGAGGCTTCATTTCAGGCCCGCACATCAGAGAAATACAATAATATAACGCTCGTGAAACAGGGTGAGAGAGTCAGTTACGCTCGTACGTCTTGCAGACATGATTTATCACCTGCAGAGAAACGATCCCAACCGTTTTATCAATTATTACGTCACTCAGGCCGGTCATGGTTTACCAGGTTTTAGCGGTGTTCCTTATATGTACGGACGTGGCTTTGGATCGATATTTTCAAGACTGTTTCGATTCATATCACCTTTTGTTAAAAAAGGATTTGCTCTGGCTAAACCGCATCTCAAAAAGGCCGCTACAGGAATCGTGTCAGATGTGTTGACGAGAGCCGTCGGTAAAATCAATGACCCTAATGCCCAAGAGGGGTCAGGCCTCATGGTTCTGTCGAGGCGTGTTCGCAAAAGACCCCCCGGCAGGCGTTTAAAGACATCTACATCACGAAGCGACCGACGCATCAAAGCTCCAGTTACAAAACGCAAGCAAAAGAGGAAGAAGTCTCGTCAGACAGGCTCTGATATTTTTTAATCATGTCACTGCTCCACAGCAAATCGTCAGAATGTACGCTGAGTGAACTGGATCTCTTCACCGTACCCATGACGCAGTTGTCTATCGAAGATAAGATCTACAGCGAAATTTTACCCATAGCAGCCCTGACGGACGGCGGGCCTGTAGAATTTTTTGTCCCCGGAGATGGAGAAAAATATTTGGATTTAAACGACACTCTTCTATTTTTGCGGGTGAAAATTACAAACGATGACGGCAG